AGGGACCATACCAGTAGCTGGACTTCAACACCCTCTCGCCGATTGCCTCGCCACCTTGATGAGAGATTGAATGAGGAATAGATACGTTTGGACCTGGCCTGAAACTAGAAGTCCTGAAGTCCAAGAGGGTGGTTGTCAAGATCATGGTTCCGTGTTGGGCGCCCTAAATATTAAGTGCCGTATTGTAATAGGGATCCAGACAGGGACCATAATTTTCACAACCACCAAAATCTTGTAGCAGGCAGGCCAGGCCAAACCTACCCATAACGTAAAAACCAAAACGAGCTTGGGGCCTATGACCAACCCAAACATTTATCCCAAGAGACAGACAGGTTCTACTCGCAGCTGTATAGCCTGCTTCGGCCTGCGACGTTTCGCCTGAAGCGCAAGCATCTCAGACTACGCAAGATGCCTGTGCTGCTTTCTACAATTCAGCAAAATCAGTCTTCTGACCTTGCAAAGAAAGGCTTGACCGTATTCCGGTGGAAGGTTGACAGGTATCATGCTGCTGGTGGGAGCTCGTGTAGGTGGCTAACGCTGAGGCGGCCCCATTGAAAAGGGCTTATTGGTGGAGATGTGGGAGCTCTCAAAACGCTCTCTACAAGCATCGGGGCCGTATTGCCAGACGTGACCAGAAAGTTGACAGCATCCTTGCGTGAAGGCCACGTGGCCCTTGAGTGATTCTGCTGCGTGCTGAGGCCGCGCTCGCTTCCAACGTTTGGCGGCCGCAGCCTCGGCTGTAGAGAGCTAACATCATTGGCAGTAAGTAGATCAATGACACATACTGATAGTAGCAATGATCATGAAGGCAATGACTGTGTTGGTCCTTGACATTTTGAGCTCATTTTCAGGGAATCTGCATGCATGGTAGGTGCTGCTGGAGGGCTCTGAACGGGCTCTTGTCTTGCATCAGACCTGTCACTTGATAAGCTAGTGTGACTTCTATAGGTGTGCAAGTCCTCACATCCCGCTGAATGCTTTCTCGCAGGCAGCTGCCTTGACAAGTGGTCTACTGCACCTCAGCTCAAAGGTGGCTGTTGCTGAGTCGCATGAGGAACTTGTGAGATTGACTTCGTGAAGCTCTCGTTGAATCTTGTATGCTTGCGATGGTTACATGCGCTCCAGGTGAGCAGTTTAGGGCCTTTAGGGTTGGCAAATCTTTAATTCCATGCGTTGAGCCAGTGATGCTTCCAGGCCAGGCCGCTTTGCAGCTGCCTTCGCCAAGAAATGTCCACTGGCCTGATTGCATGCACTTCATGAGGGCCCTGAGTTGTTCTTCTTGAAGGGGCTTGGCAAATCTGTGCATCCAGGCCTGCGCGTGGCAATAGCGCTTCCGGAGCGGCAACCTCAGCTACATCCTCCGTGACGTTTGCCAACATGTAGTTGATAGAGGGCTCAGAACGAAAACCACGTTGATCATTCTGATTGTCGCTGGGATTTGCAGAGGCCTGGAAGCATCCTGTGGCTACTCAGCCTGGCGTATGGCCTCATCCAGAGGCCACTGCACTGCACCTGCCAGACTGTGAGCTGTTCAAAGAGTCAGCAAGTCAGAATCCTGGATTATTGCCACTAGGAAGGGTGAGCCGATCCCCTTGGAGTGAGCCAGGAACCACAGTCACTGCAGCTTCCTACTGCACCGCGAGGATGCAGAAGGCAGGGAGATGATACGAGCTATAGCAGCAGCAGCTATGGTCTTAACTTCTTCAAGCAGGTTAAGATTGGGGAGTACTTTCGGGGTTATAAAGGGGGATATTATGAGTTTATAGACTATAGCTCATGTACAGTAGCGGTATGACATGCCGAGTTAATAGATAACGGTGCAGGCTGAGCTATGATGAGCGTTCCCCCCATGGCTAGATGGAGTCTGTTGCCCCTTTGCTCCAGGGCCTTCGCATAGCCTGATGAAGGAGCGGACATTCAAATCCTGGCTCCTTTGCTGCTTGACTTGGAGCATTGCAAATGTGCTTGTGAAGCAAGACTAGCTCTGTTGAGCCTCATCGTGTTTCTGGGCATGGCGCAGAGCTTCCAAAAGGCAAAGAGCGGCAAAGAGAGACTCCTTAAATCCGGTATAAAAAGCTTCCAATATGTCATTTTCGAAGTAGGCAGTTTAGTGCTCGTACTTCATGTAGGCCATGAATTCTGGGAGTGGACATGTGAAATAGGGTTTTTGATGGCAACCTAATTTGCGCCTCAGTATACCATGTATACCCTCTGCCATCCTATGCCCATGAGCTACATAATCAATATGAAGCAATATTGTAGCTCATTTCAGCTTGCAGAAATGAACGGAGAGGATCCTTTCGACAGCGATGCCGATCTCAATCAGGCCACGGAGCAGGTACCTCCGGGTGCCCCAAACATGTGCTTGGTGACTTTGGATGATACACTCGGAATGACTTACAGGATGATACATGAGCGACAGTCTAAACTCCTTAAAGAGGGTTATATAGAGGATTGTGTAGGGGAGTATTCAAGGCGCCTATTAAGGGGGATACTGGGAGTGAAGAGTTGGGCCTTAGGCTTGATGCTTGTCATATTCATGTTAGACAGCACCCTCTGAAACCTGATCAACTGCTCTAAGGCACGTCAGAGGCGATGCAGAGCCCCGAAATGGCTTTAAACCGCACGACTGCTGAGGTGGCCAACAGCTCGCTGTGGGAAATTCAGCTCCTCTTCCGGCACCATGTGCCGTCCTCAGGGCTACGTGCTACAAGATTCTCCCTCGACGGTCGCAGAGTGCGGCAGCTGTGCAGCCTGCCAGTTGCCTGCTGTCTCTACCCTGGCGAAGCTGTTCGAGAAGCCTTTCTTCAAGGCAAGGTGAGCGTTCAAAAGGGACAAGCTCCTAGTTGCAGCCTGTGCAGCCTACGTCGCGGAAGCTGGACCCGGAGATTTTCCTGGACCAAACTGTGGCAAAGGCGAGTGAGTGACTGATGTCTGCACCGAAATCGGCTCGTAGACGGTATGTAACTTCTCGAAGCCGCTCAAAGCACCGCCCGCACCCCAGTCCGATCTTGATCTTTGCCCTGTAGTCCCTGGCGAAATTGGACAGATCCTATAGGGCTGGGCTGGTAGACAGTCAGAAAACGACCAGATCCTGGTCTGTTGGTTCCAAAGGGCTGATGGCCCGAGGCCGAGGCGAACGCATGTAGCTATGCAGATGACATGCCCCGCGCGGAGGCCTACGAGCAAGCGCTGAAGTCAGCAGATCGTCAGGCTGGAAGGGGTAGCATGGCTCGGCTTCCAGGTTTCTGGATGTTCAGCACGACGCTAGTGGGCAACAGCCGATGCTTTTGCAGGTCTCCAAGCTCAAAGCACGTGGTGCCAAGTGCCCATCTCAGAATACACAGTGGGAGGGCAAGCAGCAAGCATGAAGCAACATGTCCAACAAACCAGAAGTTCTGCCAACAACAGGTGCCCTGTGGCTTTCCGTGTGGAGGACCGGTGGATGAGCCGTTGACGATATAAGCTTGCACAGTGCCCTGGGCCTACGGTGATCTGCTGGTTCTCTTTAGATGTGGGTTCACACTGTCTCGCGCCTACCAGGAATAAGAAGAATCTAGTCCGTTCC